GTCGGTCGGTCGGTTGGTTGGTTTTGTTGGTCGGTTGGCTGGTCGGTCGGTCGGCCGGTCGGTTGGTTGGTTTTGTTGGTTGGTCGGCTGGTTGGTGGGTCGGTCGGGTCGGTTGGTTGTTTTTTTTGGCTGGTCGGCTGGTCGGTCGGTCGGTTGGTCGGTCGGTTGGTCTTGTTGGTTGGTTTTGTCGGTCGGTCGGTCGGTCGGTCGGTCGGTCGGTCGGTCGGTCGGTCGGTCGGTCGGTCGGTCGGTCGGTCGGTCGGTCGGTCGGTCGGTCGGTCGGTCGGTCGGTTGGTTTTGTCGGTCGGTCGGTGGGTCGGTTGTTCTGAATGGTTGGTTTTGTCGGTCGGTCTGTTGGTTGGTTTTGTCGGTTGGTTTTGTCGGTTGGTCGGTCGGTCGGTCGGTCGGTCGGTCGGTCGGTCGGTCGGTCGGTCGGTCGGTCGGTCGGTCGGTCGGTCGGTCGGTCGGTCGGTTGGTTGGTTTTGTTGGTCGGGTGGCTGGCCGGTCGGTCCGTTGGTTGGTTGGTTGCTTTTGTTGGTTGGTCGGCTGGTCGGTCTGTCGGTCGGTCGGTCGGTTGGTTGGTTTTGTGGCTTGTCGGCCGGTCGGTCGGTCGGTTGGTTGGTTTTGTTGGTTGGTCGGCTGGTCGGTGGGTCGGTCGGGTCGGTTGGTTGCTTTTGTTGGTTGGTCGGCTGGTCGGGCGGTCGGTTGGTCGGTCGGTTGGTTGGTTTTGTTGGTCGGTCGGTCGGTCGGTCGGTCGGTCGGTCGGTCGGTCGGTCGGTCGGTTGGTTGGTTGGGTTTGTCGGTCGGTCGGTCGGTTGGTCTGTTGGTTGGTTTTGTCGGTCGGTCTGTTGGTTGGTTTTGTCGGTCGGTCTGATGGTTGGTTTTGTCGGTCGGTCGGTCGGTCGGTCGGTCGGTCGGTCGGTCGGTCGGTCGGTCGGTCGGTCGGTCGGTCGGTCGGTCGGTCGGTCGGTTGGTTGGTTTTGTGGGTCGGTTGGCTGGTCGGTCGGTCCGTTGGTTGGTTGGTTGCTTTTGTTGGTTGGTCGGCTGGTCGGTCGGTCGATCGGTTGGTTTTGTTGGTTTTGTTGGTCGGTTCGCTGGTCGGTCGGTCGGCTGGTTGGTGGGTCGGTCGGGTCGGTTGGTTGCTTTTGTTGGTTGGTCGGCTGGTCGGTTGTTTGGTCGGTTGGTTGGTTTTGTCGGTCGGTCGGTCGGTCGGTCGGTCGGTCGGTCGGTCGGTCGGTCGGTCGGTCGGTCGGTTGGTTGGTTTTGTTGGTCGGTTGGCTGGTCGGTCGGTCCGTTGGTTGGCTGGTTGCCTTTGTTGGTTGGTCGGCTGGTCGGTCGGTCGGTCGGTCGGTTGGTTGGTTTTGTTGGTTTTGTTGGTCGGTTGGCTGGTCGGGCGGTCGCTCGGTCGGTCGGTTGGTTTTGTTGGTTGGTCGGCTGGTCGGTGGGTCGGTCGGGTCGGTTGGTTGCTATTTTTTGGTTGGTCGGCTGGTCGGTCGGTCGGTCGGACGGTCGGTCGGTCGGTCGGTCGGTGTGGTGGTTTTGTTGGTTTGTCGGCTGGTCGGTCGGTCAGTCGGTCGGTTGGTTTTGTTGCTTGGTCGGGGACCCAAAACTGTTGAAATCTCCAACCCCCTGTCGCCGGTCGGCTTCATGTTTAAGCCTTACTGACGTAAATGCAGTTCAAGCCGTTATGAGCTTATCCAAAATTGTTTTGTTGGGGGGGGGGGGCAGATCTCATGTCCGCCACTAGAAGGATGTTTGAAAGTGTCAGAAGACTTCCCGTTATTCCTTTGCGACACCGGGGACTCGAAATGGGGCAATTCCCACAGCCCTGCTGGATGGCTTGCAGAATACGTTGAATCGCACCAAACACTGACAGTCATTCCTTTTAGGATCGGGTTAGCCTCGCTTCATCGAAAAGTCCATTGTTTACTTTGGCAAAGGCAACCCCCAAGGCGTAGTTGTAGCTCACTGGATATCAGACGGGATAGTAAAGGCTGCCCAACGAATCCCAACGAGCAAAGTGTTGGATTATGAGATCTTCTGCCAATAAAGGCGTGGGGGGGGGGTTGGAATAGACATCAGCTGGAGCTGTTGCTGTTGCTAGACGGCGCAAAGAAATCACCCGAGAGTGTTTTGCTTGTGGCTGTCTGTGTCAGGCTCCGGACAGTGCCATGCCTGTGGGCTCCAGTAGGTTTGCGCGTATGCGCGGGAGAACCCAAGCTAAGCAAAGTTGAACACGAATATCAATTGTGATGCACGAATAGCACATAAAGCAAGGCTTGCAGGCTTGAGAACCATGATCTTCTTGAAATTGCCGCGCAGGCTGCATTCTGAGCTGGAGGAACAGCCAAACTCATGCCAGAGGTGTGATTTGTCGTGCCCAATCGTCAAATTTGTGTCGGTTCACTAGTTCACTCGAGCAATTGGCGAGACTGGGTCAATTTGACGGCTTAGGTCAGCTCAAAGCAAGGTTTTGCAGCTTTGCAGACATGCTGCGAGCAGCATCCCCCCTAGTTTCGAGTTTCTCCTGCGATGCGCATCATTGCAGCCGATTTCATGCAGTTGCCTTGAGAGATTGGGCAGCCCGATCTTCCAAATACAAGACACCTGCATGTCTATCTAAATGCCCTGCTGTCTGTCGAAGACAGAGTTGAAGGCAGCAATTGACAGGGTCACATCAGAGGTTGAATGCCTCTGACGTGGCTCGATGCCAAATGTTTTTGTTGCATTGTTTTCCAGGGAAAGAGTGATGATCAAAGAAGCTGTGAGAGTTAAGCCAGTGTTGAAGATACAGGGCAGCGGGGATGAAACACTGGTTGACAGAATTACAGTGAAGATTCCGGATATTGTCATTCACGTAAAAGCAGGCTTGAGCACAACTTGTTCAACCGTCCACTCAAGTTCCCTTCGTGGTTCTGCAACCACGATGCTGGGAAACCGCAGGGTCGGTTCAAGTTTTGCCAAGCATGGTAGTTGCATCAAGGATTTGGGTTCCGCACTCGGCGGAGGGCTACTCCAGGCCAGCTTGAATTCGTTTTCTCGCGTCCAGTGAAGACTGGATGATCTGTGAATACGTGTGTGTGTGAAATAGACAGGGAGTCGCAGCCCATTGCAAGTTTGAAATGGAACTTCTTATTTCTGGGTTGTTCAAAATGAATCCTCAATTCTTTCCCCAGATGGAGTGGCTTCTCGTGTTGTGCTGTCCCACTACGAAGTACGGATTAGCATTTGGGATCTCTTCCCTTTTGAACAACCCGAGCAATCAGGAAATCAGTTGAATTTGATTTGTGTTCGGATTGCTGCTTCCACTGCTGCGATTCTCGAAGCACAGGATCGGCTTCATTTCCCGCTTCCTATTCAAGAACAGACCACTGTTTCTGGGGGACTTATTTCAAAACGACACGCCAACAGGCAAGGAATAGGAATGCGTAGAGACGATGCAAAAGAGAACCGAAACACCGAACCGGCTGCGCGTCGTGCTTAGCTTTCAACGTTTGAATCTGCACTGGCAAGTTCATGTGTCTTCTTTCCTGGGCCCCCTTGTCCTTCAAAGGTCAAACGAAAGCCGAAAGAAGCTCTCGTGATGAAGGCCCCTTTTTGATATTTGCAGATTTATGGGCTCATGGGCAACACGGCGGCAACATGTCAACTTGAGCTTGGTGTGCTTTGGGTACAACGGTAAAACCTGCGCTTCCCCCCCCCCCACCCCCCGAAGCCAGGATTGTCCATTCTAAACTACCTAGTTGGAACCAAAACTGCTTGCCCCTGAAACTTGTAGTTTTTCCGAGGTGTGCCATTATCTTCTCATGCATGTGGCAAGGCATGTCATCTCTGAGCGATGTGTTGGCATTTACAGATCGCAAGATTTTGACACTGCCATGCATGTGCATGTCTGTCTGTGTGCGCGCATGTGTGTGTGTGTGTGTGTGTGTGTGTGTGTGTGTGTGTGTGTGTGTGTGTGTGTGTGTGTGTGTGTGTGTGTGTGTGTTTGTGTGTGTGTGTGTGAGTGTGTGTGTGTGTGTATGTGTGTGTGTATGTGTGTGTGTGTATGTATGTGTGTATGTATGTGTGTGTATGTATGTGTGTATGTATGTGTGTGTTTGTGTGTGTTTGTGTGTGTGTGTGTGTTTTGTGTGTGTTTTTGTGTGTGTTTTTGTGTGTGTTTTTGTGCGTGTTTGTGTGTGTTTTTGTGTGTTTGTGTGTTTGTGTGTTTGTGTGTGTTGTGTGTGTGTGTGTGTGTTTGTGTGTTTGTGTGTTTGTGTGTTTGTGTGTTTGTGTGTTTGTGTGTTTGTGTGTTTGTGTGTTTGTGTGTTTGTGTGTTTGTGTGTTTGTGTGTTTGTGTGTTTGTGTGTTTGTGTGTTTGTGTGTTTGTGTGTTTGTGTGTTTGTGTGTTTGTGTGTTTGTGTGTTTGTGTGTTTGTGTGTTTGTGTGTTTGTGTGTTTGTGTGTTTGTGTGTTTGTGTGTGTGTGTTTGTGTGTGTTTGTGTGTGTGTGTGTTTGCGTGTTTGTGTGTTTGTGTGTCTGTGTGTCTGCGTGTCTGTGTGTCTGTGTGTCTGTGTGTCTGTGTGTCTGTGTGTCTGTGTGTCTGTGTGTTTGTGTGTTTGTGTGTTTGTGTTTGTGTTTCTGGTTGTGGTTGTGTTGGTGTTTGTGTTTGTGTTTGTGTTTGCGTTTGTGTTTGTGTTTGTTTTTGTGTTTGTGTGTCTGTCTGTGTGTTTCTGTGTGTCTGTGTTTGTGTCTGTGTTTGTGTCTGTGTCTGTGTCTGTGTGTCTGCATGTCTGTGTGTGTGTGTGTGTGTCTCTGCGTTTCTGGATGCGCGTTTCTGGGCTCCTTGCAGCGTTTAACGCCGGAACCATGGGCCCATCTTGTTGGAGCCCAGTGATTCAGTTTCCCTGTAGACCAAGGGAACCATCCTTCAAATTCTGAAACCAGCTGGGATCTATTCAACTATTCGGACTTTTTACGGCAAACCTATCTCAAAAACCAATGTAGCTACGTTGCCATCCAGATTCGTCGATTCGGGATTCGGAAACGGAGAATGACACCGCGATGGCACAGCGGTCAGGACCGAGTGTGGAGATCGGGTCAGGCTGTTGGTTTCTAAATTGGGTTGCTTCTCAAAATTGGAATCGGTCCCCTTTGGTTCTTTTTGGTTTCCCTTGAACATCTTTAGCTGCCAACCAGGGGTCCACCATCTTGAGAAACCCCCAATTTGGCTTTGGAATGAGGATGGTTTTTCTTTCCCACTGTGATATGGAGTCCCCCTTGAATGAAGAAGGAAGAGTTCCTGGAAAGGTCTAGCAGTAGGAAAGTGGGGAATTCCCACAACCCTTTATTTTGATGATATGTTTTCGATAGCATGAGAATGTTGTCAATTGAGCATCGCCCAAAATCCGCGTTGGCCATTTTAGCAGGCGTGCTGGTTTTAAGGGGTTGTAGTACTGCTACATAAGCATTGTACAAGTTATGTTATTTATGGAGCCAAGGGTCAACTGGTTTTGGGCGCTGCTCAATTGCGGACAACCTGCGGTGCTTCTGTCAGCCACAGGCTTCATTGGTTCTGTATTGGCAGGGCACTCAGTGTTTGATCCAGAAAGTCAGACCCACGATGAACCTGTTTGCTTTATGTATTGCTTTCTTGGAGCCGTCAACCACATCCCCCCCAAAAAGAATCAACAACAAAGCAAAACAAGCAGAAAATAGGCGATATCGATCGGTGGGTTTGACTTTCATGCTTGGTCGCTTGGATTTCAGGCCGCGTGACGGTTTGTCTGTGTTTGCGTCAGGTGCAGGCAAGTGGACTGCCCTTCTGCATAGCCTCACAGGCCCCGCAAAGCTTGACGAGCAAAGCTTCGCCATCGCCTATGCCATGGTATTGACCTGAAGCATAGGAAGCCATCCCTTTGTGTTTACATGATCCACGTAGGCATTTTTGTGATGCAGTTTGGTTGAACATAGATGGCAGTGCTTTAAGATTGGTTATACCCGTTTGCCAGTTATCGCCGATTTTGTTCCAAAGGGGGTCTCCGCCTCGGAGAAGGAATGGTCTGCGGGGCTTTCGACACGAAAAATGTGGGGAGTGAGGGTGTCCTGATTTCGGAATACGCGAGGATGCAGCGGTTCACACACCGGTGCGGATGGTGTACCTGGCAAAAAGACGGTTTTGCTTTTGATTTCCCTTCAAACCATCCTTAGCAATGTCAATGTTGGTTAGTGAATAGTACAGGGCCCCCCCTTAAACAAGTTGGGGGATTCAAAGACCCAAAGCACTAGAAAATTTCCGGGTGTTGGACACCCGGCAAATTTTGCCCAAAACGGTCCTTCGGCTTGAAAAGAACCAATTCCAAAGGACGAGCAAGTTGCGGATTGCCATCCACGCGCTCGACTGGGTGTCCGATTGGCTTGGTATTGCCAGTGCTTGGGATCGTGTCTTGGTCCCCAGACGGGCAATGTCTTTTTGAGTCGCCTCCCCTTTAATCTTTGGTGCATTTTGCTTGGATGTTAGGACTTTAACCTTTTGTCAACTGATGGGGTTTCCATTAAACCGGGGGGGAGCAGAAAGCAACCAAGTAATGATTCGCCATCCGACATTACATCCTCAAGACACACACCCAACTTTAAGGCCTCCGAAAAGTTGATGTGTGCTGGTAGTAAGTTTCTTTGCTCGACACAACTGGAAAGGCCCACCCTCGACCATTGGAGGCGTTTTGTTTTGTGAATTCCACCTGCGGCCGACCAATGGTGCGCAGGTGCAGGCAGCTTGCAGTCCACATGAGGCGCCTCGGTGGTTGTGGGGCGGGCAACCGGCACGCTGACTGGAGCCAAGATGTCATGTCCAAAGAGCATGTCATTGGCGGGGTTCCGTTTTTTGACTCGCCCAGGGCAGACTTCAACCCGGTTTCCCTTTTGGGAAATTCAACCACCCCTGCGTTCAAGTCCACTTTGGGGTTATCAAAAATTGGAACCCTGGTCATTGGTGCAGTTTTGGTGGCTCACTGGAGCCAAGCAAGAGCTCGAACCTCCGACACTGCCGGGGTTTGAGAGAGAACGCTAAATCGAAAAACACAAAGAGATGCCAACTAGACGAGGCAATGATTCTAAGGGGGAGGTTGGGAAAGTTTCACGCTTTTGTTTGTTTCCAATTCTCTACTTCCATGCCGGCAAGTTCAAAGCTCGAACCAAAGCCTTGCAGGTCAGGGCGCATTGCAGCAGCCTCACAAAGATGTTTGTTTGCGACCTAACCTATGACGGTTCCTTTCCGTAGGCATGTTTAAGCTTGGTGAATCGTTGGAATTCGCCCAGAGAATCCCAGGTGGTGAAAGCAGGATATGGAGAACATCTCATGTTTTGGGAGGTTTCCCGCCTCACACCCTGCTTTTGAAAGATCCCCTTCTATGTCCCTCTTTGGATGGTTAAAGCATTACTCATTGGTTAACTTTTGGTTGTCCTGCTGTTGAATTGCCCAGGGTGAGGTTTTTAGGTTGAGCATACAGCCCAGTTGTTCAGTGGCACTCTTGATTTCTGTTCGTTTGGTGGCGTCCCCGCTACAAATGGTCATAAATGGTCAAAGCTTCCCTTGTTTCGACAAGTGTCACTGATTGCAGCTGGGATAAGGAGCCCTGTCGAGCAACCGAGGTGCTGCGGTTGCTTTGGATGTATGGCGTCAGCTGCGTGGACGCCATGTTTGCGCTGTGCATTTTCTTGGCAAAGGAAGACCCGTGGTCCGCGACTCAGCGAGAGAGGCGTCAGCTACTACTATCCTTAACATGGGCGCAACTTATGAGGTTGATGCTCCAAAGCGGTGTGTCTCTATCTGACGCCTAGAATCTGGGCTGTCCTTTGGCTTTCCTTTGAAACAGGCAAAAAAGAGCACGCCTTGAGCCGACGCAGGTAGTGACATGGCAACCCCCCGGCCATTTTTGGCATGTCCTTTTCGAGGGCGTATTTTTCGTAGTTTCTGTCATCTCAGGCGCCGAAGCGGGCCATGTCGTGGCGCGATTACATTCGGGTATGTGTCAGAATGGCGGGGAAATCCTCAAAAAGCTGGTTTTCATGTTGCAAGTCCGCCAAACCCCTCCCCCCCCCCGCAACCTCCCAACCCCCCCCCCCCTTCACCCCCTAGAAAACAACCTCCCCTCTGAAAATCCAAGCACCCCTCAAAACACCCGCCCCTGTCATTTGCCGCGAGGCCGCTACTGGCTGGAGTCTTGCTCACCGGAGTCCATCGTGGTGGGGTCCTCGGAGCGCTTCCGCGATTCGGATCGCGCGACGTGAGAACAACCTCAGTTGTTCAGTGGCACCCTTTTTCCCTTTTTGTTAGGTGGCTGCCCCACTAAAAATGGTTTTCCCCAAAAAGGGGTTCCCTTTTTTCCAGGGTCACTGAACAACTGAGTAACCCAAGCCTGAGAGTTCTGGATTTGATCGAAGGCTGCCTAAAGATGAGACAGAACTCTAGTTAGACTTTTGTTTTGTCGGTTACCCTGGACGGTGGGGAAAGATACTTTTCCGTTGGACACCTGACTGACCGGGGAGTCCTGGCTGGGACCATTTTACTCGGATCCTTCGTGTTTCGGTTTTGGACGGGAGGCGTTCTTGTTTTGCGCCTTGTTTTCCCGTGGAACAAGTACGTTGACCCCAGGCCCCAAGCGCTTTGTCGGAAGCTCCAAGCAAGAGAGGAGTTTTGAAGGTTGCTTGGCTGACAGGAACTCGAGTTTTAGGTTGAAGCCTGCTGTCTCACCAAAAGCAACACTTCTCAGCAAAGTGAATTACATGGACATGGCCCACTTGCCACGTCTTGAATGTTTGCTTGCACAATTAATGTCAGAAAGGATACCAATACTCGCCAGCAAATCATGCGCCCCAAACAAAAGTCCCGATTAGTTAAAGAAAGAACAACAATAGTGATGCCTCTACAAATGTGTGTTTATTTCTAGCATGTCACGTTCATTTGGAGAGCTTTGCGGATTTCGCTTTATTTATGGAATTGAAGTTCCGTGCCTTTAGCTGTCGAAATGGAAATGCGTTGGTTGCCTTCAAAGCAACCTCAAGGCTAGCCGCAACGACACTCCAATTCGCATGATAGCAACATGTTTCCCTTCGGAAAATGAAGCAGTCCAAACCGAGCTCTCTGTCAGTCATACCACACCTCTGCAGCAGGGGGGTCAAATTGAAACAACTTATAGACAGCTGTTGGATGCCTGTAGAGTCCTGAACAGGAGCAACCCTTCATATCAATATCGGTTGGTTTCTTGTGTTGAACACAGTGCAAAAGAGAGTCGCTGAGAATCAGCCGGCATCATTTCTCGATGGGACCAGCACGCAACGTGCTGCCACAATCAACCCCTGGATAAGGAGCATAGATGGGTGTCCCCGCCCTCTTGATTCTGTGCTTTGACCAACTGAGGCTGGACGCTACCTCGCAGCTGGAAGCAGCGCACAGTGAGAGCGTGTCTCGGGGTGTTTTGCTTCATCAGCTCCTCGCCTTTCATGGTGAAAGCATCGTCTTTGTTTTGGCTCGGTCATTGAGCTGCTGGTTTGATCAAATATGTAGCACGCTCAAAGAGCAATACCGTTTGCTGTTCCCAGGCTCTTGCATTGCTAACAAGCTTCACTGACAGTTGGAACTGCCTGAACTGATTCACAAACACCACGAAGGTCCTTCACTTATTCCCCCCCCCTCCATCCCGCCCATTGTGAGGCTTCGCGGTTTTGCGGCCGCACCTCGGCGATGCCGCGCGGTCCCTGGCGATCGCAGCCGCATCGTTGGGGCTCCAAGCGCTGGCCCCGGCCTTCTGCGAGTCGGACGCGTCGCTTGCCACGGGCGGATCGATTGGCCCGCGGTGCGAGGGCAAGGCGAAGGCAAAGGCGAGCGCGTGGCGCAAGGAGCGACCCAATTTGACGAAGGCGGGAGCTTGCGAGTGAAACTGGAATGAACTTTGCTGGTTTTCATGCGCATGCTGAAACGCGTTGGCATTGATCCATTGTGCTTGAACGTCTCCTGCTGGCGGTTGTCCAAATCAGGATGAAAAGGGCCGAACAAGCCCAGGACACAGAGCCACACAAGCAGAGAAGACGTGTGGGCCATTTAAGAAGATGTGGGGTGAATCGTGGGGTTCCTGCCCTGCTCCTCCAACCTGTTGGCAAGCCGGGGTTGTATCTCTTGGATCATCTTATTGACCAAGCTCTACTTTGAGACAGGTGGATCGAGTGGAGTTTGGTATGATGGTTCATCTCTTGTCAAGGATCGACTTGGTACCCAAGCAGCGTGGTTCCCCACGATTTCAGGATATGCCAACTCGATACAACACGGGGCCATCATGACGGACGTACACAAGGCTTCAAACATTGCTAAAACACGAGCACCTGTAAAGGACCCTGTGACACATATATCCTTGTCAGGGGTCGTGTAATAACTTGTGCACATAACCCTATGTCATGTTCAAGAAAGTTATCAAAAGACCATGGCTGTGGGTCAAAACTCTCGTATTTCCTCCCCCCCGACACCCCAGATTCCGTTGAAAAGTGTGCCAAAGAATAGGGGGGGTTGCCAAACAAAAGTATCAGCGCTTTGACCCACACCCATATGTGTCACAGGGTCCTCCAAAGGTTTCTTTGTGTATGAACATTTTTTGAAGCCTACGTCTCTACTGGCCATCCTTGTGCCCCTTGTCAGACAGCTGCCAGGCCCGGGCACTGGCCAGCGGCCCCATGGTACGGAAAGGGGCGACGCGACCTGAGCTGCGGAGCGAGAAGCAGCCCAAAGATGCTCGGAATTGTTGTTCGCCTGATGGAGGTGGATCGTAGGGTCTCGGATTTGTTGTTTGGGAAGGCCCCGGACATTTCCCGAGGGTAGATGCTTGGTTGCTGCGGTCCGGAGGTAACGCTAGGCCGCTCAGGTCGCTCTTTGTAAGGTTTGACCCTAAGATTCTTTGGCAAACAAGTTTACTTTTTGCAGGAGGATCGGGAGGCCAAAGACCCAACCCAGAAAGGGTGCTGCCCAAACCACGCTGCCCACTGGGACGGGATGGCGAAAACATGGTAAGTACCACAGAGAACTTGGAATACACAACTGTTTCAGTCTGTCTGCCTTGAACACTTGGAGCCCCAAACATGTTGCCTAGGCACGGAGTTCCCAGTGACCATACGCTGCTTGAGGAAGGAATGATTAAGTGTTTTTCATGGCCACGTGGTGTCTTGGTGCTGCAAAAGCTCATCTGATGTGAGGACACCTCGGATGAGCAGAAAGCGACTCGTTGGACCTTCAGCGGACTGAAAGCTTCAGATGCGGCTGAGCCGCGGCGGCGGCTCTCAGAGCCGAAGCCGCCCGACCCCAGTGGTTCCGCGGCGACGACGATGCTCAAGGCGAAGGCGTGTCAGCTGCCTGAGACCCGACAGAGCAAGACAGAGGCCAAGTACATGGAGGCAAGTGTGGCAAAAGCACCGTGGTCGGGAGCTCAGGAATGCAACAAGAGAGCAATCCAACTTTGGTCTTGTTGTCAGCATTTGTTTGAGAAAGGTTCAACGCGGCTAGTGTCAAAACAACTACGAAAGAGGGAGCAAACTATTTCTCTCACATTCAGATTTGGTCGTGGCACCCGCATGCACAACTGACACCCTGTTTAACTGCCTATTCTATTGGCATGAATCAATGCAGGATGAATATGTTGCTCTTGGCCCAACCAGGAATCAACAAACATAATTCTCGCAGAAAACGGGTGTAGCGTTGGGCTATTGTAAGTGAGCTGGATAAAATAGAGTCTTCACACTCATTTGTCCACCCCGGCAGTCACAAGTGGCAGTGTATGTGTCTGAATCACACCCTGAATCCAACTTTGAACCGTTTCGAGTCACCAGATATCAAGGCCCTTTTGAGGTTCCCTTATCTCCAGTTTGAATAGTAAATTCCCGACTCCTCGCCCCACCCCACCCCCCAACCCCAACCCCATCCCGCCCCCTCTGAGGGATGCCAAAAGCGCTGCGCCGATGCCAACAGGCAGGTGGCAGGGGACTTTTTGTGCAAGCGAGACCCAGGGAATTTTGCGTGTGTAGGTGTGTGTGTGTGTGTCAAAATACCACATCCCGCTCCCTGTGAACCAACCTGAAAAGGGTACTCTCAAAAAGCAAACACACTTATGTGCTTTCCTTTTTCTGGCTGGCTTTCAGAGATGAATCGATGAGAAAGAAAGGGAGGACCATGCCCACAAACCCAAGAAGAGCAAATTGGAAGTGTCCAAAGTTGAAGCCAGATGTTGGTTGGAATTACAGGCTGGCCAGATAATGGTCCTTTTATTTTCCGGCCCGTTCCAGTGGAGGCAAAGCCCATCTTCAACCAGAAAGCTATGAGGGACAACCTTGAAACTCATATGAATTTTCAACCAACTACCTGGAGTCTCCGATTTGTCAAGGTGGGTTCATTGCCCCAAACAGATGCGTACAATATTCCATGAAAGGGTCATGGAGACTCCAGGTATAGACTTGGGAACTGAAATCGTAGCCTTACATTTGTGAGTTGTGGTTTGCGAGCGAGTTGAGGGTCTGTGAAGGTTTCTTTCAGGGAAGCCCTATTGTGGGGTGGGTGAGTGATTTGTGCAGCAGGGTGATTGTAGTGGATTTGTACTGCTGATTTCAGCGGTGCCGCCTGCCATGCGCCAAATTTCGGCAGGCAAGGCCGTGAGAGCCCTTCGCCGCCACTCGCCGCGCCCGGGCCTCGGATGAGCGAGGCGAGACATGACCGATGAGTCGATGAGTCGAGCCGGAGGTTGCGTGGCGAAGGAGAACCTTTGCCCCGGCACCGTCTTGAAAGATGCGAAGGAGAGAACGATTCCGGACTCTTCACGGTTCCTGGACAAGTTCCACTTTTGGGGAAGCCAGGAATGGTGCAGGTGCAAACAAAGGTTTTGGTAGAACCATTTTTGGTGATGCCGGGGGGATGCAGGGGATGATCAGCATTTGATCTAAGTCTTCTTTTTCATGGGAGTCCTGCGTCGGAATCAACCTCGCCACGGCAGATCGAACGGGCCTATTCTTCAGCGGGGTTGGATCTTGAGTTGTTTGACCTCACCCCAAACCGGATGAATTCTAGACGATTGATTCACATTGGAACTGGGGTTCCGCTAGAAGTTGCTGAGCCCCCAAATGGAGGGGTCTGGCTGGTTACCCTCCAAGGCGAACGCAAAAGAGGTACTAACTTGAAAAAGGACGTCTTGTGGAGCGTGAGTGCGCGCGATAGGAGAAGAGGGAGCAGCTGCATATTTTGAGGCAGCTGCCTTGCGCTGGCGACTCAGGTGAGATTTCTATACTGTATACTGTTGGATGTTTCTGGACATCAGTTTGCACCTCAATGTTCACTAAGCATGCGTTGTAGTTTAGAATGCCATCCTGAGGGGCAACAGCGACCTCGTTCGATATTGGCCGTCCGACTACCAGCCCTCATGTTTTTTGGGTATTTGCCGTGCCATAGGGGGTAGTAATGGACCTCATCGATATGTTCAGCGACTGTGTAGCCACCGATATGCAGGGGCGGTGCATTCCACCCCAAAACTGTTGGGTTTAAGTCTGCCTTGGGGCAAAAACATACTATAAAGCCATGGATCTCTGCTGCGATCATTTGCAGAAGAGCCTCCTTTTGGGAGGGTGGGAGTTTGTTGCACCTCCAAATGTAACAGTGAATCAGTAGTGCCCACATGGGATTTGAAATCTTATGGGAATTTGTAGATTTTCAGCGTGGCTAACGAGATTGTGTTAGGATTGACTGAATTCCAGTCGATCCTTCCCAAGTGAACCTTGCAGAAACATGCTAGGACTCGAATTGAATCAGATCCTGACTTCCTGGTTCGAGTTGACCTGATTGCCCTTGGACCAACAGCTAGAATCTACAGTCAGTTCACCCATAGACTGTTTCAACCGCGTCCTTGTTCCACCGTCGCCTCAATTCACCACAAGTTAGTTCGGTCAGAGGTCCTCAGTTGGCACATGGCTGCCCTTCCAGCGAGGCCGCCGCGAGAGCTTTGCCGGCGACCGGGAATGGCGTGCGCCTTACCGACTGCTATGCCGACTTATCGCAGACTGGGCGGTCTCCCCTTTGTCCCTAGAGAAGGCACCCTCCAATAAGGAAATACCCGTATGAGTTGTGAATTGAAAGGCTTGGACTCTGGCCATAGCAGTGCTTACACGCATTGTGTATGAAACTTTACAGACCATGCGAGGTTATATTTGCAAATATCTCACAGGTTCACACAATATGAATACGTTCTATAATTTCTTCTATTTTCGGGCAGGTGTGTGTGTGTGTGTGAAAGGATGAGGTAGGTTTGCCAGCCAAGCAGTCATTCGGCTCGCTTGCCAAGAGTCAATCGTTGCTTTTATTTGTATCTTTGGCCTATGTTTCGTCAAGGTTCCAAAATTCAGCAAAAAATGTGAACTTTCATCTAGCGGTCACCATTTAGAAGTGAAATCCCTCATTCTCTTCGCCAGGTAGCTGCATGTCAACAGATTTGCAACCCTTGATGCTTGGCAACTGTCAGTACAGTGGCAGTTCGATATCCGTTTTGAGCATTGCTTTGCACAGCGGGAACCAAAACTACTTCTGTAAATTCCTGAGGGGATGCTTGAATGAGCAGATGCTGGGCAAGCCAAGCCAAGGTTGGCGTGGCATGTCACAAAGGTTGCTTAGCCACATTGCTATCGCACTGCTATCTCCAATGGTGAAATGTCCAAAAGGGTCCCGTGAATGACCCCATGATGCCACAACAGTCCCTCATGATTGGCTTGCCATTCGGATTGGGTTGGCTCTTCGGGGATCTTCGGGGTTCCTTGAGGCAGGTGAACGAGCGACTTTGTTTCGCTCGTGGCTACAGGCGGTATGTTTATCGATCCAGACTTCGAGGAGAAGACCTCGCAGGCTGAAGCACTCGGTGACAAGCATCGCCTGACCCAGCATCATGTGACCTATGTGCCATATGCCATATGGCTGTGGGTCAAAACCAATGGTACCATTTTGGGATAGGTGCACCAACCATTTTAGTCTATTTTAGTTGGGATTGGGATGTTCACTGGGACCCATGGCCATGTGCCATATGCCATATATGTGTCCAGGGTCCCTGCGAAGAGTCTCAGAGCATCTCCTGGCAGGGGATTGCCCTTCGGTTGCCTGGGGCAAATTGCTGTTTGACCGCCCGTCCCTCGGAGGCTTTCTTTGAATTTACCCAGATGTGCGAGAGATGCAGTGCTGGCCATTCGGAGGCGGGGAGGAACATGGGGTTAAACTTTAGCTGCAAGACAAACAAGAAATCCAGAAGGATACTTGCAAGGAGGATATTTCCAGCATTCTTGGGTTGCATCCTTGTTCCCCTGTTAAAACCACTCGACAAGTGAATCATGCCACAATCAATCCTTCTGATTTTGAGTTTGTGCCGAGGCTCCGTTTTCGCCCCACGTAAACCCTGGGATTTAGGACAATCATGGCGTGGCCTCGTCCGAATACACATCGGAAGACTAAAGCTTTCCCTGGGACATTGCCTTTATGATACCAAAGTCGGCCATGCCAGAACATACTTTAGCAAGCAGGGTGGTTGGGCTGACGCACACGCGGCCTCTCAAACTTGGGGTTTTTCAAGGGTATCACAAGCGTTGACTGCTACTGTGGGTGGACAAATTCCTGCACCAGGTGAAATGGATGACACCCTGAGACAGACCATCTATCAACTGGCGCAGGATTTCATCCATAGACTGTAGGACACTCGGCCAAGTGTGCCAGTTCTTTGTTCTTATGCCAACTGTGACTGGGTTTAGGGCAAAGTGGGCCGCAAAATAGCCGAGCTCAACTTGCCAACTTGACCCAGTTGTTAAGCGGTCAATTAGCTGCCTTGATTACAACTCATTTATCCTTCCAGGGAAATTAGTCCTGTTGCAGGTGACTATCCACTTTCCTGGGCCGAACATCCACTTGCAAGCAAGGAGTGTCCTCATGTCAAGTTGCAGACAGAGCCAGGCTGTGGCGACATTAGAACGCCGGCTGAGGGAGTGCAGGTTGACGGGTGGCCGGAAATAATTCACCAGGGGTTGGGCCGCTGTTTCCACGTTTCGTTTCAGCAGAATTTGCGAATGCAACCAACAAACAGCACAATTTCCAAAAAGGGGTATTCCCAAGGGAGGTTTCTCCACAGATACATGTGTTTTAGAGCTTCGGGAGAGCGTGAGTCACTCTCCTTTGGTGCTTGTTTGAGGGTGACTCTGTTGTTGTTTGACCAACGAGTGCATTTCAACATGCACCCAAATATCGGATCTACCTCTCCCCTTAAATCACTGGAAACCATTTGCATAAGGGTTCCTCAAGGGACCACCCCACTTTGCACAAGTTCTTGTTTGCACAGTGGTTCTCTTCGGCAAGGAACGGGTGGTTGGCGCTGGCCCAATGCTAATTCGAAGCTCAGATCCAGACATTGCAGTTGGGGGCGTTGCTTCTGTGGTGCAAACAGTCATGAGCACCCAAGGCTTCCCGAAGCGACCCGACTTAGTCAGACCTTAGGCTTAGGGGTTATTCACCCGAACCTTACTGGGGGCGTTCCTTGGGAGTGAAAAGGTGCAGAGATTTGTTTCCACATCTGCTCGACTTCGCTGACTTGTTTCCCTTTTGGGATGTCATTCAATTTCCTGTTTAAAAGATTGGTGACCTGTAGCTTTTGAGAGCAGTGAAGCAGATTCTCAAGGCTGGTCCCATGAAAACAAGCTTAGGTGGTGTCACCAGCAACGCCCAGAACCCTTCAGCTCTAGCCTGTAGCCACTCCGGATCGTATCTCGGAGTCCCCAAAGCTTCCGACTTTTGGGAAGCTATGTCGCAATGTTTGGGGAAGGAGCCGACCTGAGCAGTCAACAAACCTTGAGGTTTTTAAGACCCGGCGCACTCATACCTGGATGCAGTGAGGGATGCTTTGGTGACAGCTCAGAAAACCAAATTCGAGGTGCACGTAGTTTTTAGTTCCGCCGCGGTCTTCTTGCATTCGCAAAGAGGAGCCAAGCGGTCAACAAAAGCCATGTGGCGCTCGCTGGCCGTGCCGGTAGTGCTGGGGTCCAGTGTTTCACACGACAATTCCTTTACGCGTTGAGGGGTCCCCCGGATTTCGGATCACACCGCTGCCATGGACGAAGCTTCGACAGGGCTGGCCCCTGCCCTGACTGGGATTTGCACGTCGCATTGGTTGGGCTTGCAGCTTCGTTTCACGGCCCACGAGCGAGCACTGGCCTGAAATCGAGGCGTGGACTTGCATGAGATCCCCATCTTCAAACATAGAATTGTGGGGACTCCCAGAGTTTCGTAAATAGTCCCACGGGGAAGAGCAGATAAATAGAAATGGTGAAGGTTCGTGAAGTTTTTAGATGGATTGCCTCAACCACTTAGCCCCAGAGGAGCATGGGATATACTACAAGCAACATAGTGGCTTGCCCGGGGGGGTTTGCCCGGACCGAAGGACGGTCACTCTTGCGCATGGGTTGGGAATTGTGCAAACTCTGTGCGAATAGCAGTAAATCGTGGCTTCGGTGGGATCTCATCAGGAAAGTTTGCAAATGTCCAACTTCGCGTAGTTGAATCTCAGATTCGACTACGCGGTACTGGCAGGCGCAGCATTTGCAGTTGCTAGAAGAAGGCTCCAGGACTGTGGCTTGACTCTCTTAGTGAGAGATGTGAGAGACCATATGAATACCACCAACACTTTCATGCAGCTGTCCAGGCCGGGCCGCCTTGTATACGCGAAGGAAGCAGACAAGTCATGAGCTGCGCTGACAACTTGCTGGCAGAACTTCCGTTCCTGCTCGGCGCCGAGAGCGCAGCGGAGACAAAGACAAGCATACGGGACGGTAGGTCCTTCAAACGCAAGAAGACCCCAAGCCCTCTTAGACACCAGGTGCCTAAAGCCGCCTGCAGCAAAGTGGCAGCGTGTCAGATACGCAAATGGGACTGCGCAGTCGCGTACAGCGAGCAGCGGAGAAGTCACATGGCAGCGTGTAGTCCATCCCCCCCCCGCTCCGTCTCCCCCCGGACAGCCGCGAGCGCTGAGGATTGGCATGCGCAGGGCAGCGTGAAAAACCCAACATAGTGGTCCAGAACAAATTTCGCTCCATCCCACATGATCAGGGGCTTAGGGAGAATTCGCTGAGAGCCGCGCGTTTTCCCATTGGGCAAAATTGTTGGGATCCCGAGGAATTGGGATCCCTTTGGCAAGTTCATGAGCTTCTGGACTTCATTCCTTTTGCCAAAGTGACTTTGGTAAGCAACCAGCTTCTGGGCTCATGTGTTTCAGCCAGTTTTCAACTGTCCAAGTCAGTTTGGGACCCTCCACCTAGATACTGAAGGCAACTGAAGACCATCAAGGGACTTTGATTCTAAAACAACATGCCCCCAGATTTGCTTCCCTGTGATGTCCCTTTTGATGGCCTGCTTTTATCTCCCTTTAACACCATTTTGAGCAACTTCCACAACACCCTTTGGCTTCTGCAGGCCATGGCGGCAGGCGGCTCAGAGAGAGAGAGAGAGAGAGAGAGAGAGAGAGAGAGGGGTGCAGTACCCCTGTGTTGAAAGAGCCCCCATTGCCCAAAATGCTGGGTTCCCTTTGGTTGAAAACCAACCAAAAAAGGGTACCGAGCCAGAAAACAATGCTTTTTGTGTGGTGTACAGATTCGCCCTTAAAAATGCGTTTGATTGGGCTGGTCTCTGAGGCTCATGGATTCCGATGACATCTTGGCAACCCTTGCTCATGCATCCCCGTGGGTTTTCTGCGGAGTTCTGCTGGAAGATGGCAGCCAACCCGCGCCTCGAGTTGTGCGGGGCCCATTAAAATCAACGATCAAAAAAGAGGGTTCGCTTCATTCCCATGGCCACTGAAGGTCTTCTGCAAGGGTTATTCCTTTTCTACATCCTGACTTTGTGTTTTGCAAACTTGGACTCAGGTGTCGCTTCTGCTTGCATATTGTTTGTCAAAACTCCCCCGCCTTCCAAGTGTTTTGTTTAATGTTCCCTGGGGGCAAGGGAATCCTAGTTTTGACACATGCGAACCAATGGTAAGTTGGCTTAAGCTTCTTGGCCAGCTATCTCGGCTTCGTGTTTTGGAAGCCAGATCACGCGACCTGTTTTCAGACCGCCTGTCGCCTAGGTGTCCGTGTGGGCTGGTCGTGCAGGGAAGGCGGGCAGATCAATGGCATGAGAGGAGCATATTGCAGAGATGTCGTGAGGAGACTGGTGCAAACTGCCAATTCATTCACCGCGTGCACAGCACCAACAGGACGGGCTGTGGATCGTGCGCGACTGGCCCGATACTTTTGCGGGATTCAGAGAGTGAGCAACAGATGACAATGCAATGTGCCTATCTACTATCGAGCAAACGAGCAGGCACAGGCCAAGTGCATGTCATGTCTTGCGACTGTTGATGTGCATGGGCGTGAATAGGGCAAGCTGTGCCTTTCTCAAGGCGTTCTTCGCCGAATGCGGCCTTAAACTGCGGGAGTGTAGATCACAAATAGAAATTGGCCCGTACAACATCGTCACGCAGAACCTTTTGAAGTCAAGCCTCCGATGGTGTCGTACATGAACGTTTTCTCTCCGCTTTCCGCATTGTTTTAGGGATCTGTGTTTTGTTTAAGATCCCACGCAACAGGGAGTGATAATAATCTTCAATGTTTTTCAAAAGCACGGTACGGGAGCGAAGTAATGAGAACCTTGAAAAGTATGGGAAGTTTAGCTTGTCTCCCACATGAGTCTTGGCTGCTTCCGATTCATGCCAGGAGAGATCGGCATGCTGTTCAGCTGTCAGAGGTGGAGCTGGGAAGAGTTGCCAGCTGCCTGTCAAAAGGGTGCGTTCCTCCCCTATTGAACACCCCACAGACTCCCCTCATGAATTCTATAATATATGTCTCTCCACACTTTCCGAGGCTCTTACAAGAGGACTACAAAGAGAAGGTATCTCCTTGGCTGGGCGTGCCTTTCAATTCTTTGAACATGGGTTGTCAGAATTAGGGCCACATGGACTCCAGACATGTGTGTGGCAAACGTTTTGTTGGCATTTGTTCTGCGATACCAAGGGAGTCACCTTTGACATGATCAAATTGTCACAGGGATGGGAATCCCACCTTGATATCACAAAATGGCCGACCGTGTTCCACATTGGCTTGTCTTGGATCCGGGCAAAGTATGGCGACCTCAAAAACGGGGCTTGCCCGCATGATGCAGGTTCCGTTTGCAAGATGGGGGGGTACATTGTTACGACTCACCCAGAGAAGTGTATAGATACTTGCAAGAAGGGTACCATATGTCGAGTTGAACTATGATTCACCCAACCAGGTGGCTCTCAAAAGCATGGGTCCGCTGGCGTGGTTTTCAGTGGAACAAGACATGAACCACCCGACGGGATCCCTAGCTTCGCCAGCTCCACGCGGATGCAGCCGGCGCCAGCAGCGGTGCCAGGTACGAGGCGCCGGTGGTCGCGTGGTTTCGTGGTTTCGGCTTGGTTTGGGGTTGCTTTAGAGCAGGCTAAGGCTTGATTTGGGGTGGGGTTGGGCTGTGTTTTGACGGTGGGTTTAGGTTTGGTTTTGGTTTGGTTTAGGCCGGGTTTCGGCTTGGTTTAGGGATGGCTTGGGATTGTTTGAGGGTGCGTTTAGGCCAGGTCTTGGTTTGGTTTGGTCTGGATTTGAGCTGGGTTTGGGCTGGGTTGTTTTAGGGTGATTTTAGGCTTGGTTTAGGCTGGGTTTAGGCGAGGGTTGGCTTAGGGTAAGTTTTGGCTTGGTTTAGGGTTGGCTTCTTATAGTGTTAGGGTGAGTTCAGGATTGGTTTAGGTTTGGTTTAGGCTTGATTTAGGTTTGCTTTAACTTGGTTTAGACTAAATGTAGGCTAGGTCTTGGCTTGGTTTGGGTTCCAGGCCTGGGTGGAGGCAGGGTCAGGGACCGTCGGGGCGATGGGCATGTGGGGGGGGCGGGGGGGGGGGACGACCCGATTACATATTTGGCGACCATTCCCACGAGATTTCTGCAAGTGTGGGAAATCATGTAATATATATATATATATTTATATGTATATTTGTAATGTACATATATA